TCTACCCCAGAAGGAACCCCATGGGGGCTCTGAGGCACGTTTGGCACCAGTATCAGAGAGAGCGAGAGAGACCCTCCTCATTGGGCTATTGTTTTTAAACTGTTCCAAGATGTATCATCTCCTCTCCTCAACATTTTTCTTCTAAACTCTACAGTATTAAATATGTATTTTACTCTCTCCAAACGACTGTCATGTCAGATTCTCACTACCACTGTTCTCCTGGGGACCATACTTGTATCTTGTTTCCAAGTGATCATAATTAATTTAGAACCTGCTTGAACAATTATTGCAAATTAAAAAAATTGAGTTAGTTTTCACTTGTTTATACTGTTCCCCCACATTTGCCACCAAATAGTTCTACATATGGGTAGGACCTTCAAGAGCTGTTCACTCACCATATACTTATATATATATATATATATATATATATAATGTGTATATATATATTATATATGTATATGTGTATATGTATGCGTGTATGTATATATACGTGTGTGTGTATATTTATATTTGTGTGTGTGTGTGTGTGTGTGTGTGTGTGTGTGTGTGGCTTGGTGGGGAGGGAAGGAATTTAAACAAAACGATGAAAAATATACAGCCACATTCAGAAGATATTGAAGAAAAGTCATTTTTTGTGATGATGTTTTTGAATTTTGAAAAAAAAAAGAGAGAGAGTTGTTTTTCAAGGAAAAATACTTGGAAAAACGTGGATGATATCTAGTACTCAGCAACCATGGAAAGGCTCCCAGTAAATGAATCTGGAGAAAGAGAGAGAATTCAGGGCCTATCTATCTGTGCTTTTACATATGAGCCAAGTGAAAGCTATTGCCCTATAGCTGGGTTTTGTTTTATTACAGGGACTGTTTGAAGTCCAAAATCAGACTGAAGGTTTGGGCAACATAGGAGGGAACTCAAATAGTAGGAACCAAGAAAACCTTGGACAACCACTTGTGAATGGAAACCCTCATATCTCCTGGTTATTACAGAGATAAATCGGCAGAATCGGTGCCCTTTACTCCGTTCATATGATGCCCTCCATTCTCAAAGCAACTCCCTAGAAAACTTTTCCCAGCACAGCGCTGACCTACACACTCACATACAGCAGGGTCAGGGAGAGGAATGACCAACATACCCTGTGCTCAAGCTCTTCTGAAGGAAGCTGGACAGCATGGCTCTTATATATATATATATATATATATATTTTACTGTGTCCTCTTCAAATTTTGCTGTTTTACTGTTCATCTTTTCTCTTAGGTACTGTATAGTTATTGGCTAGCACACCACATCCTACCACACATTTGGGGCATCTCATTCAAAATTCCCCTCAATGCATTTATTCCTAAACTTTCTTCTCTTCTTCAACTCTGTCTGTAATCTCTGACCTGTGAGCTCTTCGTTCTTACAAACGTGTCCTCTTCAAATTTTGCTGTTTTACTGTTCATCTTTTCTCTTAGGTACTGTATAGTTATTGGCTAGCACACCACATCCTACCACACATTTGGGGCATCTCATTCAAAATTCCCCTCAATGCATTTATTCCTAAACTTTCTTCTCTTCTTCAACTCTGTCTGTAATCTCTGACCTGTGAGCTCTTCGTTCTTACAAACAGTCTCTTTTAAGGCACTATTTGATATTTGCTGCTATTTCTAACAATGAATCACTCAAATACATAATCTCTGGCCAACTATGGGAGCCAAGAGAGAGAGAGAGCGTGTGTGCACAAGCAAGCATGAGAGAGAGAAACTCACTGAAACATTTGATCCTAGATATATCAGCATAAAAAAAAAAAAAAAAGCGTTTGCTTTTATAATGTGAGCTGCATCTACAGTTTTGAGCAATGACTGAGAATCATTCAAAGATACATTCCCCCAATAACTCTAGCAAGTATTTGTCAATGCTGAGTGTTTGTAATAAACTGCGTGCAAAACTGGCACGTGCCATAGTTTACTGACCAACAACTATTTTTATACCCCAAGTTTGAAGGGATTTCTTTCTCTCATAGCCCAAAGCAAGAGAGACCAGTTAACTTTTGAGCTCTTGCTGTGGTATGTAACTTGTCAAAACAACTCAACACCAAACACATAGGCACAATAGCCCTCCAGGAGAACCTCTCCAATTATTCTGCACTGGATTTCTGGCAACTACAGGTGTATAAGCTACAGTAGTAAGGTTATAGTTGGATGAATAAAATATTTCTGTATTTATGCAAAATTATTTCCGAAGTTTTCACACTTGAGACAGAGACATACATAAAAAGGAAATTCCTCTTGGGGCTAAGCAATCAGGAACAAAAGATTCTTTGGCAAAAAAGTGAAAAAAATAAAATAAAAAGGACCAGGCCTCCCTATAACGCTTCCTCTGAATTTTGATGATCTATAGATACATAGTAACTCCTAAATGTCCTTCCCGGGGGTAAAAAAATAGGGCGGGGGAAGGGGAATAATGGAATAATGCTATAAGGAGTAGTGATGCATGTTGCTACCAAATATATCCCTACTATCACATTTTAAAGATTTTTTTCCAGATATTGAAGTGACTTACATAGTTTAACAAGTTCACGATGTTACTGATTAATATAGACAAACTTGTGGAGACTTCCAACTACTAGTATAATGTTCTCTTTCCCCCTACACCACCAAAAAACTGAACTAGTAGGGAAGGCAAATTGTGTCAGGGGGGTAAGGACCAAATTTTGCATTTATTCAGACACAATAAGACCAAAGACAATGGAACTGCATAGGATGGAAGGAGACCAAAATACACTCTGATTGGCATTCCCAGATAACACTATTCAGAAGTGACACACATCTCCAAGCATTGTTTTCCTATCCAGAGTCCAGTGATATTAAACTTGGGAGAGCCACATAATTCAGTGATATTGCCAAATCTAGGACACTGGAAAATGCTGAAATAGTTTGATTACTTGGATTCTACTGAACATTTTTATGTTGGTATGCTTTTCATGAACGCATACCTAGAAACTACTAAAAGGATTTTTTCCTAATTAATATAGGCAAATTAGCATTTTAATACAGGAAACCCATAATTTATTTATATAGGAATTTTTGTCCAATCCTCACCCTATGTTCCTGCAGTACCCAAGCAATTTCCATTGTTAACCTGTGTGTGCATTTACTGAGAAATATAGCAAAGTTTAGTTTGATGAGTATTTTCTTCACTTTAGAGCCTTTCTTTCTACTAGAATTTTGAAAAACCTGTGTAATAGTTCCATTAAGTTACTTTAACAAAAAATTGCAATAAATTCTACACATACCTGCAGAAATTATAAAGTGATCATGGGTGAGATCACATGCTTCAAATTTAAGATTTTATATAAATACGTTGGGAGCAGTCAACAGAATGATACAAATCAAAGCATAAGAGTAACATAGATGATCTAAACAGAATTCCACCAGGACATGTTTATTTAGTTCCTGATATTTCAGCCCGAGCGTGAATCACTCAGTCAGTCTTCACCTCACACAAGTATTTCAAAACAGGTGAGTGAAAGCAAAGGGGTGAGCAATAGTGGTGGGGGCACTGGTTAGGTCATTATGTTAAAGATAGACAAGCCCATTAATGGTATTTTTTCAGGCTTCAAATATTTAAATTCACAAGTTATCTAGAAAAATCCTAGAGAGATGTGAACCTTCTGTATTTCCTGCACAACTAAGGAATATTAATTAGCAAATGTGTGTGTGAAATGTTCTTAGCTACAGATGTTTCATGTTTCCCCTCCCCCACCAAGAGACTATAAAAATCTCTAAACACAGTTTGCTTAAGGCTAAAAGGTAGCATTTTCACAGGTGGCGTCTGGCCACACCTTAGGTAAGAAAAAGAGTCCGATTGCAAAGATTGGATCATGTTCTTGCTGTAATGCTGGGGGTTGCCTTTAAAAGATGTGCTTATCGGAAAGTCTATTTTTTATTGCTCTTATTAGGCATTTCCTGCTCATTTGTGCAATAAATTTAGCTACACAGCAACCTTGAATTCTATTTTTATGAAAAGCATTGTTCAAAGAGCTTCCGAAAATTGTATTAGGGAAGAGAGAAAGGCCTCTGAACAACTAAGATGTGCATTATAAAATTACCAAATATTTTTTTTAAAGACAAATGAAGAAGGTATGAAACACATGAAGTAGAATCAAAAACCTAAATTTGCTTTTTATTTTGGTACTCATTTGGAGAAAAATAAAATAGTAGTTTATGGTGACAGCTACAAAACAACAACAAAGCAATTTTACATGTTTATCATTAGAATGATCTTAACAACACAGTAGAAATAGAAATAAAAAATAAATAATAGTGTTGCGTGCAAAACAGATATGAAGAGGCATCACACAATTTGCTTGCTGACCAATGCACTATTACATGCACAGCTGTTTTTCTGTCTAACTGGATATTTTCCAGATAATGCTTCCAGTTCACATAACAAATGTAAAGGTGTTTTGAATTGGAACAATGACTATTATAAAAAAAAAAAAGTTGGTTTTCCTTGTACTTAATCACACTGAACAATCCACTCAAACTTTTAGTTTTGTTCTTAAAACCAAAAAACTTTCTATTCAAATATAGTTTAATATAATTTTTAAGCTAATTACAAAGTGGTCTTCCCTTTTTAGCCAGGAGCCATCAAGTATTATACAGATTATGTTAAAACAATTTGTATTTAGACACTTTGTTAAAGATCAAAGATTTTGTTGTTGAAAAGGATAGTATAAAAGGCAGAAATCACAAGCCTATCCATTAAACTCTCTTCTACTTAAATACAATGTTTGAAAAGGTTTATTACTTTTCCTTCTAGAAAAGAAAAAAAGAGTTAAGTATTCCCTTCTACTCCTACAAAACTGTTTTCAAATTTATGTTTAACCATACCAAATAACCAAGTTTGTATGTTCTCCCATTTAACTTAGTTACACTATTAGAAATCTGCAAACAATTTTATAATTCTAACACAGACCAGATGATATCCATTAGTAAGCAAAGCCATTTTTCACTTACCCATTCTGAGTAAAGCAGTATTTCCTGGTGACAGGCTGCCGCAGCTCCTGTTAATGTACAATCCTTCATCACAGCTAGACTAATCTAATATTAAAAGTGCCTTTGCAGACTGTATGAATGATTTTTTTTTTCAGTCACTCTCCAAACTAAGGAATTATCAGCACTTCCTGTGACAAAACAAAGAAGAAGTAAAAAGGAAAATAAGTCCACACAAGTTCCTGGCAAAGAGTTTTAACTGCATTCCTCTTAATCAGTAAACAATCTAGTGACAGTTACCAGTTCATGGGAGACTCTCATTAATCCAAGGTGGCTGCTGTTGGCTTCATTATCTATCACCGGTTTAGCCAAACCCACAGCACTGATAACTGTGTTATCACATGTTGCTGAATCACTCTAATCTCAGAGTTACAACCTAAGTGTAACTCAGCAGTGGCACAGAATAAAGGTTCAGCTATCTCTAGTGGAGGGAGCTCTTATAGAGAACCGCCAATTAGCTGCTGACCAATCGCTGCTGCACCTAGCTGGCTTAGTCACATGACAGGACAGTTCCAATTACCACAGAGAAATTTCTGAATTACTGAGGTTACACAAAGGACACTCATTGAGGGGGAAAAAAAAAAGAAAGTAAGCAGTAAGCTCAACTTGAAAACGCCCAGGCTGAGACTGCTAGTGCTTTAAAGCAGGAAACTCCCTCGCCTCACACAGACACAGATACATTCAGAACTAGCCAATATCTAAATAAGAGGAATGTCTGGCACACATTAAATTAATCCTCATACTAAGATTTGGTTTATAGATCCACTATAGACATCAACTCATTCCCTTTCCCCCACACCAGCAAAATGTCTTTTCTCTTTAAATACAGCAAAAAACAAAAATCTTTCCAGTCTATTACTACAAAACTTATAATTAATTGATAAATAAAATACTCTGTTAAAACAGACAAGTTAAAAGTTGATTTTCAAAGGAAAGGAGGTTATGTGGGTAAATCTTATGCATAAATTGAGATGTTTTTCAAAGCAGTTTAACAGCTCATACAAGTAAACTCAAGTGGTGGGGGGGGGAAGTGGGTGACTTAATTAGGTCAAATAATCAGTGACTAGTTCTGCTTCTAGCATCATTCAGTACAATATTCCATCAGTCATGCAGCTTTGACAATAGACAATAAAATATATACATGCCAATTAATTATTCATAACATTTAAGTATGTGTTTAAAAAAAAGAGAGCTACAGAAGCTTAACTGCTAAATCAAAATTTGAAAACTGTTGAAGACTATCCCACCTATCTACAAATCTTTTTTTTTTTTTTTTTTTTTTTAAAAGTGTACAGAGTAATATCTGAAGTCACTATGTGATGGGGGGGAAAGGGAAAGTGCATGAGACCTTCTCAGAACTGTACCACAATTCAACTCTACTTTTGTACCATAAATAAATGTATATGGTTATGAACATCAGATGGCTGCAATAAATGCTGTTAGAGACAAAACTGGAACAACTGAAAGGCTGCCTGCTACTGCTGATTCTTGCCAATCCCTATTGATGGGTAGGAAGCGTAAGCCAGTTCAACCATTCAAGATGACTCAAAAATTGCCTCACTCCCACCCTCCTGCTCCACAGAACAACAGGCTTCTTTAAGTGGGGAGTAGAATCCTTTGTAGGAATGACTCAGGGCTTGTCTTCATCCCTAAAAAGGTGTGCCTGTTTACCTTGGGGTAACTAACACATCAGCAATTTTAAGTAACACACAATGGAGACAAGGTACTTTCATTTTACCACAAGGTAAAAATGACTGAGATCGAACCCAGAAAGGAACTGAACCAATATTTAAGATTGGGTGATATGTCCAAGGGCTCAACTAATTCCTAAAAGTGGCCAAATTTAACCTAGGGAATATTTCTATTAAACCACTATTTCCTTCCCCCCCACCACCCACTCCAAAACACCCCACTGTTTTAAATTGGAATAGCATGTGGCTAACAGAAAATATGTTTTTACATCAACATCAAAAATTTGATTTCTATTTTAAATTAATATTTTGTAGCCAGTTGCTTTGTGAGTTTCCACGTGCTGTTATTTTTAAAAATGAGGCAATCCTATTTTAATCCCATATTGTCTATATTCTGAATTCATTTTATTCAAATTGCCAGACTATCTACAACTGGCCCTTATCTTCTAATGAGGTTTGTTCAAGAAAGCATTCTTAAGTAGACTAAGGAATAACCAGATAAAATTATTGAAAAAAGTAAGAATCTTCCTATGCCCGCTTAGAGGCACTCTGTCTTCTTGAATACCCCTTGCATGATCTCTTCAGTGTCCAAAGCTCATTTTTCTTGTTTAAAACTCTTACCAAAATCAATAAACACTAATTAAAATTCTTGTTATAGAGTTCAAGAAGAAATCTAAAGTAGTATGTTCCTAACTTTTTCAGATGCATATCAGAATGGAAGCATCCTTTTGGGTCATTAGTCCCTACTATCACAGGCATCAACAACCTTTAATTACTTTTATGAATCAATCTAGTTTCATCCTGAAAACTAGTTAGGTTGTTTACCACCACTACTCCCATTGGAAGGTTGTTTCAGAACATCATTCCTCGGGTAGTTAAATGACTTCTAATTCTCAGCCTAATTTTAATCCTAGCCAGTTTATTCTAATTTATTCCTATGACAATATTGCCTTTTAGCTTAAATGCCTCATCTCTCCCTAATGATTAGGTCCTAATGTATTTTGAGGGGCATAATCCCCTTTTTAAATTCAGGTTTGCTAGAATTTTAATAAAGTTTCTTTATTCAAGGGGACAGGACATAGCAAAGAGAAGGGTTGTGTGAAGGCTCCTTTCTCCCTACCATTCATTATGAAATGTTCACATAATTTAGATTATTTTTACGAAAAGCAAAAGTTTACATTGTACGTGTTCTTTGAAGACAGAAAGTGTGCAACTCAGATGATACAGACTCAAAATATTCCAGCTATTCTATGTTAGTAGTCACGGTTAATTTGACAAATGTCAGACAAAGCATAGAAGAGGTGAACTCCTTAAAGCAAGTTATTCATGAATGAGAAACTTTGGGGTAGTAAAGTAAGCCCTCATAGCACTCCTGGGAAATGGGCATCTTTAGACTCCTTTCTATATGTGGAGAAATGGAGCAGCTAAGTGACATGCTGAAGGTCACAGGTAAAAATGTCAAACTTTTTAATGTCTTAACTCTCTGTCCCAGGTAGAATCAATTAGAACACACTGGGCACATCTTCATGAGTGGGAATATGTGGTTCCCTGGGGACAAACAGCAGCAGCACAATGCCATTGCTGCTTCTCCACAGGAAATGCCCATGCACACGTGCAGCACGTTGCCCTGGATGTGGTAGCAGAGCCTTGCCTGGGGTCCTGAGGGCCTCCGGGAGCTACAGCCACAGCAATCCGGCAGCACGGACCTTGGCCGGCAGCTGGAGTTTGGCTCTGCCTGGCCAGGCTCTGGTTTCTGGTGGCACATGCTGCTGCAATCTGTGCTGTCCTACTTTAAGATACAGGGTTTTTTGACACTGGGATCTCCAGAAATTAAAACAACCTGCCGTTTTTAAAGAGAGAAAAACATAACTGTAACTTTGAAAGAACCCCTAGTTGATTTAGGTAGAGAAACCTTTCCCCTCTCAGTTTCTTGTCTGCCTTTTCCTTCAGCATCACTAAGATTCCCTATCTCCACTGCTGACAAAATACTAGTTCCTTGTTTTTGTAGCCCCAAGTAAAAGGTAGACCAATTACCTAGATTATTATACTGTGCTCATGGTGTCTGAGCTGTGATTAATAGGCAACTGTGCAAGAGAGAAGAGGGCACAATCCTGTCTGATATAACCAAGAAACACTTCTACCTTCCAACACAGCACTTCCCATGGCAAGCTATTATCCCTGCTAAATACTTATTGTCCAGAGGTCCCTCCCTTTTGCAAAAAAAATAAGAGTAGTAAGAAGAAAGACAGACGACAGTATTAGAACACCTAAGCAAACTGCTGTCGTTTCCTTGGGTGAAGCCCATTCACAATAACACTGTGAGAACTGGGACTCTGAGCCAGGTATAAGCCAAGCTGGGAAAAAGGAAGAAGCAGATGTCTTCCCATTGCCTGCTCCGCTGAGAAATGGGAGCAAGCTCTGGAGCAAGTTGTCACAGAGGTTAATGCTAATTCACTGAGGAATCCCACCCCATCCAAAGAGAAGCAGTTCAGCTCAGCCAATAGTGAGGCAGTCAGTGGCAGCAGGATATGAGAGTTAGACAAGCAATAAGAGGCATCAGCTGGGTTGGGAGGGGGAGAGCAGAGGCTGACTTAGGTCTAACATCATTGTGTATCAACTCTGCTGTGCTCATCAGTACAGGTACATAAGGGTCAGTTTCACAACTACTATTGGATTTCAAGTAGAATTGTGGGTGGTCATCACTTGTGAACATTGGACCCTTATGTTCCTCTCCCATATTCCCTTTTAATGATTGTCACCATACAGGCACACAAATAAGCTCTTAGGAGGTAAGGTTAGGATATGAACTTCCAGCATGTCACCCAGTCTACAGTAATTTCCCATGTTCATGGTTACTTTGTGGTAAGTATGGTCGCTTACATTTTAAAGAAGGGATGCAAGTTACAGGGAACAGGGCAAGCTGTTCTAAAGTCATGTTAGAAATGATTTCAGCACCAAAAAAGTTAAAAGTTTCAACACATGTCAACATTAAAAAACCCAGCTCATTAAGGGTATATTTTTCTCCTTTTACTTAGTGAGAGACTAGGGGTTTTTTTCTGTGTAAATCATTAAAGCACACAGGACCCTTCAAAAAGTTCCTCTTCTGAAAGATCAAATTAATAAATGTGAGAATGCCTCCATATTTATACAGTATTGCAGGTAGCTTTAGCTGTTCTTAGCTGTTAAAACCAAATAGAACACAGTACTACTTTTCACATTACTTCAAACACACATATAGAGAATACTTCTGCTGCCTCCATATCACTAGTCACCAAGAAACCTTGTTAAACTCATATAGATATAAGTAATACAGTACTTCGGAAAAGCATTTCTTTTACCCTGTTTTTGAACAGCCACACTACATTTTCAGATTGCAATGACATAAATATACAGTGGGTGAGGGTGGGGGTGGTTTGGGTGGGAGAAGAGGAGGATGGAGGAGGATAGGGTTCTGTGCCAAGAGCTGAATCATAACCATGTGAGTAATTTTGAATTTTTTTCCTAAGGGTATGAATCAAATTAAGTTTGTTTTGCTGTGGGTGAAGGAAGAGAGAATATAATAGCATGAATCAGAGCTATCATCAAATATGTGGAACAGACTAAAAATTAATTGCAATTACTGCCTTCTTTGAAGAGTTACTGCCACAAGATGTAACAATTTTATTAAACAATACACTTCATACAAAAAAAAAAAATTCTC